ATATAAAAATAAGTATTTGTAAGAATTATTTAATGCAATAATAGACGCATTTAATAATGTTTTTTGTAGCGTAGACTGGGGTATTCATAATGTTACGTTCAAATTAAGGCATACATATTTTCTGTTCAGTCAACATTCCTCATTTGGACACGTTATAATAGTTTATCACTATTACTACGTAGTATAAAACAAAGTTGCTATCCGCCGTCTGTCTGTTCCTATGTATGTTTAGATTTTTAAAACTGTGCAACGGATTTTGATACGGTCTTTTTTATTAGATAGAATAATTCTTAAAGAAGGTTTATATGTGCGTGCGAAGCCGGGGCGGGTTGCGAGTAACTAAGAAGTTAAGTAACAGTAATAATAGTTTACAAGACACTCAGATAAAACGTACAATATCATGCTCAGTATCAATATTTGTGACTAACTACAACTTGACCTCAATAGGGAGCCGTTGAGAACGCTGCAAGCATTGAAGACAATAGTTTTCAATGCAAGCAACGTCATAACTCCCAACTTCGTCAAAACATACTTGGTACAGTAACTCCCGATCAGTAATCGTTAGTCCTAGAGCAACGTCGGAAGCTATACAACACGGAAGACGATACTAGCGCCACTTACACGAAGTAGTGTGCAGATAGTGGTAACAATTATGTTTTGTTAGGTTTATTCGCAAAGACTTCCAACTAACTTCTTGAGCTCTTGCTTAACAGTTTGATTAAGGGCCTGACTGTTCCCAAGCGGGAAGCTTACTTATAAACTTGAACCACGGTAGCTTGTTTTAAGCACTACTTGGTTCCTACTTATAATATAAAGTTGAATTTATGTTCTTTGTTGGGTTTGAATGCATTTTGCTTACTATATTCTGTGTAACAATATTTTTTTTTATTAAACGTCAATCAGGTTTGTATCAGATTTATTAGCCAATCCAACTGGATGCTCCCATTCCCCATTATAGAGGTCATTCTTTAATAAAATTATATTTAACAACTCAACAATTTACCTCTATGTCATTTTACAGCCTCATGCCTGGTTGTCGTAAAATGGACAGTTGACAACATGGCCTTTAATTTTCGTGGTAAATAAAATAACACACTACTGGACTATAATGTTAGCACCTCAGTCTACTCCTGTGATATACATAAAAAGGCATTGAGTGCGGAAATAAATAAAAAACTTAGCTTATGGGATATAAAATATATTACCTAGAGGGCCAAACAAAAACTGCTGTTACGCTACTAAGTCACTTACAAAGTTAGTTTTTCATGAAAAAGTTGTGTAATGCAGTGGTCATTTATCTCGAATGCCAGCCGCATATGCTGTACCATCGTACATTGTATTTGTTCCATATCTGTCGTGTGCCGTTATGATAATCGGCTTTATACTTTGGCTCACTCTACCTATTGGGCCGTTTTATTTCGGTAAATTCGCAAGCTTTTGTTTTGGCCAGTAAATAGCCGCAGCATTATGAAATGTGATTTTGATGCAAATGTTGTTTTGTGATTTGTGAGGTTTCACAGTGTTTGTTTTATTTACAAGTACTTATTAGAAATATGGGTTGGTGTGTTGTAAATTAAGAAATAAAGTGTATAAGGTTATTTATGGCGTATTGTAACTGAAATGAGAATTGTTTATCAACAAAGAACCATTTATTAAAGTACAATTGTCATGCTTGGATAATTGGATTATTTCAATTATATTCCTTTTTTCTACAATAATCAATTTTACTCTCGCAAAATAATCTACACATTGGCGTAACCACATTATTGTTGTTTGCAGCTGCCGCACCAATATCACTGAAAGTATCATGTCTGTAACTTTCCCCTTATCTGGGATTACGTGGAGTGATATTACCGAAACTGTCGCTTCGCTTCACCCTGATCCGTCCCATCCTTAATGTACCAACTACATATATTGCAAGGGACTGTCAACATGGTTAAAATTAGATTACACGGCATTATACTAAATATATACTGCTTTTGGTCGAATTGCTTCTCAGCCGCAGTGTATGTTGTGAAGTGTGGAATAGAAAACATGGTGTCTAAACAGGAAAAGTATAGTGTATTTGGAACATTTTCGAAATCATTGAAATGATCAGTGATTGGTTAAAGAACTCTTTGAACTAAAATAAACATAACATCACGCCTTTTATCCCCGAAGGAGTAGACAGAGTCTATCACTACTTATGTTATGAGTCCCATCTCTCTAAAACCTCAGTAGTAGCACGAAGCCTAGAATTATGTCCGGTATATGGCAATAGGTTTACCTATTACATGGAACTTATAACATTTTAACGAACAAAAACATATTGAACATTAAAAACCATCAAATCCAGAACAAAATCTGAAGACCGAAATAAACAATCTAGTCAATGCTTCATTAACATAACTATAGTTCGAGTATAGTTCTTGAAAGTGTAAATTATTTAGGAACTAACTAAACTATCTACTAATAATAAATTAGTTATTTATCAATCTGTTACCAATTTCACAGAATATTTGTAAGTTAATTTTGGTTTACCTTATTGGCAATACTCTGTAGTTCAAAAGCATGCAAAATAAGTGATCAACATTCAACAAGAGTACCTTGTTTATGCAAACTAAATTTCCACCTCTCCGTGTTTGTATTCCCGGGAGAAACTATCTAAAGGTACATAGATATTAAACGTCGCTTCGGCAGATTTGATTTACCTTTTCCTATCAATTGCTTACCTCGATAAACAAGTTCGGGCCAATTCTAAATTGCTTTCTTCAAAGACCCAAAATAATTTCATATTTTCTATCTTGTTTGTTCCTTCTTTTATTTACAAAGTTACTTTATCCTTCTTTTTACATAAAGAGGTATAATATTAAGCCCTCCATAATTCTACTTTAGTTGTAACTTGAGGAAAGCGGCTTACTTGGGTACCCGTTGCTGGGTTAACGGCCCTAAATTAATTTATGAAGTACCTAATATTTCAATCCTGATGATGTTACTGAGGGAACGTAATTTGTATGTGTTGGGATTCAGAGGTGTATGTTACAATGTTGCTTGGGAAATATTTTAGCGCGGTGTCATGGGCGGAGACAGAAATTTCACTGCTTCATGAGTGTACGTGCGAGTGGTTGCAAGTACAAATGCGAGGTTTGGTTTTGATTGCAGACCGAGCAAAATATTTAAATTTCAAAACTTCTGATTTCGAATTCTCAGTGAAGATATGAATTTTGATATTTTTCCCAGTGGTTAATAAACTTAATTGTTTAACGGTAGAACTTGAATGATTACTAGATTAAAATAATGACTTCACGTGTGATAATGACTGAGAATAATTTTAATAAATCAATCAGTGAGTAATATCTTTGACTCAGACATCTTTTGCTCCTTTAAGTGACGTTCAGTTATAATAAAAGTGAATACTACTTTTTCCTTTTCTGTTTACGATAGTTTTATTACATCATATCTTCAATTTTAGTCCCATTTCTAAGATAACAAAAATGTATTATTGAAAGACCTTAGGGACAAATAAAGGCATCCATCTTGAAAACGGTAATTTTAGGCAGCCACGTAATATCGATAAGCCACATAATAACATAGATCACATCGTACATCAAACATATAAAGAAAACACCACCATATTTCTTTTCGCAAATAAAATAACAGCTTCTAATATTGATACCGATATCGAAGTTATCTAGATCGTAGAGCTGTGACATAAGGTACAATATATCTTGAATCCAATTTCGATTGTCTTCGGGAAGGTTTGGAACGTAAGATATTTCCCTACTCGATAAATTCAAGTTGTAGTGCAGCAACTGGACTGTGTCTGTCTACTCGGATTATCTGATAGTTGCAACTTGAAATTATTGCACGACATAGACAATTTAACAGTTTTACTGTTTTAGTGGTATCTTGAAATGTAGACTTTGTTGAACTGTACTTCATTGTATTTAGTTACTTATACAAATAATCTATATTTATAGTCGTATGTACCTTTTCTTAACTTGAAGTTTTTTTGGGCTTCTTAGAATTCGTGTAGTAGTCATTGTCGACAGCTAATGACTACTACTACATCCTAATAAACATATTATGATGAGACTTAACACATAAAAGGCTAGGTGGATTCATTTCTATTTGGATGAAAAATTATAATGAACGTTGTTTTATTATCTTACAATCATCATGGATGGTGTATATTTTATCATTTTCCTAGTAAAAATCAAACTCGCTTATGTATAAATAAAAAAGCAATGTTTTACCCACTAAACGAACACGTTTAACCAAAAACGGTTCATTAAAACAAACCTTATCCTGTTACGGAAATTGTGATAACGCTGTGGTAGCGTGTCGGACGATGTCGGTTAAAATCGGGTGAAGTCAGCCGAAGTCGGTGGGTGTCGCGGTGACCGGCAATGCGGTTGCTGTGCTCTCGTTCAAGTTGCTTTACTTGACTTTCTCAACGCCGATTGCCTATGTTATTTTTTTGTGTCAATGTTTGTAGAAAATTCTAGATTCCGTTCTATTAAATCTTTGGTCAATCTTCAGTTTCCTTTCATATTTATCTCATGGCATATCTAAGAATGTGATCTTTTTTTAGTGTGTTTTAAATTAATTTTACATGAAGTTGTAAAAAAATATTATATTTTAATTATCTTCTAAAGGGTTTTATTATAATCGAAAATATCCGTGTGCAACGTACCGAGATAACTGGCTATCGCATAGACAGTTCCATTATATTTGCCGCTCGGCAATTTATTTCCCAGCGCTTTTTGTTAGCGATGCTTGTAAACTATGAATAGCGGAATCAATTCCAGATCCGACACTCGAAACCAAATGAAAACCAATGCATGTACAATTGTACTTCAATTTATACGAAACAGCAATCATGTTGTGTTTCTAATTGTTCACAGATTCAATGAAAAGGAAAACATGGGGTCAGCGTTCGAATACAAAATACTAAAACTGGAGTACATAGTGAAACAGCGGATGAAGTAAATGTTGTTAGTGACAGCGTGGTTTTAGCCATGTATCGTAAAGTAATATATGCGGCGGTGGCCGCGCTGACACTACAAATAATTGGTGCTGCGCGGCTGATGTGTCCGAGTGACCCTAACTGCGTTTGCGGTGGCACGCTCGCCGTTGAACTCAATTGCAACATCGATGGTGAGTGCACTTATATGTTCACGCTCACGAATGCCTTTTAAAGCCGAGCCCCAAGTTTCACAGCGTGATTTCAATTTTTCTTCGAACAAACTTTCTTTCCTCGCCTTCGTTTACGTCACTGTAAGCGGATTACGTCATGTTCGGTTTTAAAGTCGCGTTTTAAGTGTCGTATATTTTCCAAGAATATTTTTACTAACTTAAAATAAACTTTTCAGGTCGGACAGTAAAAATAAATTTACTGCCAAATATCTACATTAATATAAAATGCGAGAACGCATCGAGTCTCGACTACAGCAAGTTACCAAAATGTGCCAATAACATGAGTTCGTTTAAATCTGTCAGTTTTAAGGACTGTCCACTACCAGCATTTTTTCAAAGATGTTCTGTCTAATATGGGAGTATCGAAGACTATGGCACTGATATTCCAAAATGCAAAGAACCTGTCTGGGTATTTCGACAGGAAACATTTTGCAGGGTTACAAGACTTGACAAAATTACTTTTGTCTATAAATGGCATCACTCATCTTCCAGACAACTTGTTTATGGACATCAACAAGCTCACATGGCTGAACATAAGATCAAACACAATAAATCTTTCCGAAGAGTTGTTCAAGCCACTGGAGAAACTGGAAACATTAGAAATTAGTCACAATCACATGACCAATATATCTTCGAATTTATTTTCTCATTTATCTTTCTTGAGAAAACTTTCCTTGTGGCAAAGTAACGTCACCTGGTTTTCTAAAGATCTTTTCACAGGCGTCGATGTCCTCGAAGAATTAGATCTCAGTTCTAATGGTCTTAACGAACTTCCTGCTTCAATATTTAAGCCTCTAAAGAAATTAAAGAAATTGACGTTATTCTCGAACAAATTTTCTTCGTTGCCACAGAATTTATTCAGAAATAATGCGGAGCTTGAAACTGTGGTGATACTAAACAATGACGTCAAACTGAAGGAGCTACCGAAATACCTTTTTGGGGATTTGCCAAATTTGAAGCAAATATATATTCAGAGGAGTGGCCTGGAGAATTTACCGTATGACGTTTTTGCCAATTCGCCAGTAATTACGAACATATCATTAGCATACAATGACATTACAACCCTGCCGGAAGCCATATTTAATGATCAAATAAATCTCCTCGAGTTGGACCTGAGTTACAACCAATTGAGCGAGCTAAAGCCTAAATTGTTTTCATCTCTAGTGAGATTGGAAAGGCTTAAATTATGCCATAACTCTTTGGTAGAAATATCTGGGTAAGTAATATTTTATTCGTGTTTGATCAATTTCCTTTCATCCGATTAGGTTATGTGACGTAATTTACTTTTTATTACAGCCAAACCTTTTCGTCGCTACTTAGTTTAATATACTTGGAAATGGAGCACAATAATTTGAAAACGATTTCACCGTATTTGTTCAGTAACAATAAACAGCGAATGTCAATATCTCTGGCTTACAATCAACTTGATTTCGAGGACAAAGAGTTGACAAACAATTCTTGGCTGGTGAAAAGGGCTTCGCCTTTTGCCCACACTTATAATTTAAAGCTATTGAATCTAAGTCACAATGAATTCAAAGTGGCTTTTGAGGACTGGTGGGTGAATGGCCATGAGAATTTAGATATTAGTCACAATAATATACAAAACCTTTGGGTGAGTATTTTATTAACTTTGTCGACAACTTTTTGCTTGTCATGATCTTCAGAATATAATTCGATATGTTTATTACAGACTGATGAAAAAGCATTGAAGGATTATCGTAACGTAATGAAGAAAGGAATGAAAAGTGTATGGATATCGAAAAATCCAATCAACTGTGGATGTGAGAACTATTTGTTTATGGATTTTCTACTCTACTCGACCAGAACTAAGGTAAGTTTTTACAAGATGGCATCACGTTAGGAAATACATTTCTACACAGTAATTCAGAGAAGTTAACCTACATAATTGTTGCAGATTGTTGACTTGCAACATGTACGGTGCCCTCTTTGGGCTAAGGAGGCCTGTTACATGAGATTCACAATCCTCATAACGCTAATGACAGTCGTGATATCAATTTATACAATTATATTAGTAGTGTTCATCATCTATAGGAAACAAATTAATTCTATTGTTAAGAAAAGACTCAGTACGTTTCATCGTACAAATGCTCAAAGAAAAGAAAAGTCGTACAGAATTTTAATGGACTTCTGTCATCAAGATGAAGAATTTGTTAACAGAGAAATGCTATCAATTATGACAACCAACGAATCTCTGCAAATTCTGACGAAAGTGATCACAGATTATAGAAACAGCGAATTTAGAATGTCGAAGAACTTCAAACGCTACGTAAAGGATGTGAAAACGCGTGCTCGAGTCGTCGTGTTCTCCTCCAACTACCTAACGGAAACTTATGGGCACATCGACATCAAGAAAATCCACAGCGAGATGTTGAAAGCGGAAAAAACCATTTACATTTTCGCTGATATCGGTCCGGATAACTCGATATACGACTTTCTAGAGGAACAACGAGATCTACGAACGACTCTAAAATGGAATGAGGAAAATTTCTGGCCGAAATTATACGCTCTACTTAAAAGCTTCGTATCATCTGATGAATTGAAAAAGGTGGAGGATACACTCATCGTTCCCGGAGACTCGCTGGAGCCATCAAAGATATCGCTGACGAACACGCCCTGACTGGCCCAACATGTACGATTTCAACACACTGACACACAGTCAAGTTTAGTTACACTCCCTATACTTAATTTAGCGAGGTAAAGACTGACTTCTCCGCTACGATGACATCGGAACTCAATGATAGTTTTCGAATCTTCATTTCTTTTATAAAATTAAGTTAAAAGTAGTTGATACTAAATACGAATACTGCTTGTATAAAATTTTTATAAAACTATTTTATCATGTAAAAATTAGGGTAATGACTTATTGTTTGTAACAGTAACTGTGAATAGTAAGCGAACCCATTTGTTCGGTTTAACCATGAGATGCCTACTTCAAAGAAGTGTGTATCACCGAGGACAGAGGCAAAAATGTAACCAATATGTAAGCGTTTATTTAAAGTATGTGTACATAAATTTAATGAAACATTATTATAAACGAAAAACATTACAGTTTCATGGAAACTCCATGTTGTTAAGAGTTGTAAACGCAGCTTATAATAAAACCTATACTTTAACAACAAGTACATTATTGAATTATTTATAACCTTTTAGATTATAATAAACATTTTAATAAAGAAATGAAATATTAATAACCTAATAGAGTTTTCTATTTCAATTTTGTTAATATTTATGTTTAATCATAAATTTATAGTAATAAAAAATTCAAACTATCCTTAAACAATCTCGAGTAATAATAAAAGGTTTTTGAGAATTGCCTATTAGAATTAATATAAGTGACTACAGTTTCCCTTTTAACAACGCAAATATTAATAAAGATTCATCAACATTTTCGAGTACAAAATGTTAGAGAAATTGGGTCTACGCTGGCAATCTCTCTTGCTCTCAAATCATGACAAATGAGACTTACGAAACCGCAGCCTGGAATACAGTTACCTACATAATAGCATTATTCGTTGTTACAATTTTGGAAACTATTATTTGTTTATACAAATATGTATGGAGAATACTTTTGTTAGTTTGCAATGTAATTAATTGAAAATTAATTTTAAAAATTATTTCTCTCGCTGAAACATACTTTATCACTGAGTTACTCAGGTGAATGAGATTTTTATTTTTGAAGGGGGAAAATATACAATGTCTTCTTCCGCCAAGTTGAAGCGAAAGGAAGTATCAGACTCTTACTGAATAAAAACCACCCCGTTTCTACTTCTGATCTTCGAGCCGGAGCAGCGGTAACCCGTTAAGTCTTCGGTGGCTCTACTACGGGCATCAGCTCTACTTGGGCCCCTCTGTGATGGTCTGATGACTCTTTGAAGCGCGCACGGAACGCTACTAGACACAGGTCTGGTTGTAATCGTATGTCGAGCGACCTACATGACGTCGGGACCTACACGAGTAAACCTAAATTCTTTTCAATTAAAGGTAAAGTCGTTAGAAGGAGTAGTATGTTATGACGGTAATTGAATGTGTAGATAACCTACATTGATTAGTGAATACTCTAACCTCTAACCTGTGCGTGGATATTTCGTCCCATTAAATCCTACACTGATCGTATCTTCACAGTAATGAAAGTTGTACATATTGATTTTTTTAATATTCACTGTTGAAATGTCATTGAAAGGCTGTCATCACGAGTACATCACTAAATTAATGTGTTTTTGATTGTGATACGAGTGAACGAATATCATTTTGTTGATGAAAAATTGTTTTAATGGCTGCTATTGATATTGTACGTATGTAGATCAATCTAATGGTAATCTAAGATCTTTCAAGGAATAGGCAATTATAAAACCGTTCTTTACCAGTTTTGTTATGAGTGCCAAACATTGAAATGATAATTACATTAATGATCCTTAATAAGGTCGAAGTGATTTAAAATGTTTACCTTAAAATATTAACCGTTAACGTAGCTACATAAAAAAGATACATTGTGTATTCGAACACAATAAAACCTCAGGGGATTTTAATACCTATAGCAAAAAGTCAATAAGCAATATAAAACCAGAATCAATATCGCATGGGAATAAATCGCGAGTGACAGTTGGTCGAGAACCTCCGTCAGTGTTCAACCACAGCCATGACGACGTGCAGGGCGCCGAGTGTACCCGATGATACCCGACGACTGCCGAGAGAAGCCGATGACTCCCGATGTAATCCGACCACCGATGGAAATATAGCACCATTTTTATATCAGCAATAAATTGCCAGTTATGGAAACCTATGTATGTACAACGTGTTAGTAATGGTCGTGAATAAATAAGGATGAACTGTTTATTTAGAGAATGGATTTAATGCTTCTACGTAAAATATGTACATAATAAAATCATATAGACGTCAAAATTGTAGATTGTATAATAAAATTACGGAAATATAAAGCTTTAGAAGAACATTACTGAAGTTGGTACCAAGTGTCAATTAACTTAAACTCAAATAACTTGGAGATAACACCTCTTGTCACAGATATCAGAACTTGTATTTTTAGTTTAAGTATCAAAATACAAGTAAGTTTAAAAACAAATTACTTGTAATGCGAACTCACGACTAACTACATTCCAGCCAGCCATTAAAACCACATAAAGCTAAAACAAATTAGGCTCAAGATTACAATCTACAATTCGATAAATTGAGGTTTCTTAGAAATGATTTCCTACAATGAAAAAAAAAACTTACGTTGAAGAAAATATGGTACTATTCAGAACAACAACAACAGATAATAATAAAACCTTCAGTTATATAAGTTACGAAACGTTATGTCTGTTAATTCCAGAAACTGGTATGTGAAAGTGCAAAATAAAATGCGCATAGGTATACCATTAACAGTTATGTTTTCAGTCATAAGTAGAAGGGATTGAGCCAACCACCCCACAATTTTCGTAAAATCAAAACTTATTATACCACAGTCACATTCGAGATCATCAAAGAATGGGTATTCAGGTACTTTTAATGAAAAAAAAATCCTTTCTGTCGTCATCGAAAAAAAAAAATTAATGTTTATAAACCAATTTCTAGATATCCATTTCTGTAGGTATACGAATATTATTACAATGAGATCTAAGAAAACAAAATTGTCTTATTATCACTTATATTAAATTCACATAACATAACATCATGCTGTTTATCCCGGACAGGGGTAGACAGAGGTGCACATTACGATACTTAATGCAACTGTATAATGTAACAACCACTTTTCACTATTAATGTTTATTTTATTTTATTTTAATATTATCGAGTCCCATGTAATAGGGATGAGCCTATTGTCATATACCGGACACATTTCCAGACTCCGTGCTACTATTGAGATTTTTTTAAACCCAATAATACTTTGCCCGAGTCAAGAATCTAGTTGCACTTGGCCAGCGAGGCAGAGATATTAAAGTCAGTACCAAAATATTCTCTGACTGAGTCGAGTTATAACTCGTAAATTGTGTGGTCATACAGAAATACAAAATTATCCCGACGTATAATATCAGTAAATATCATCAACATGGATTCATTCTCTCAATCACGTTGCGGTATCAGAATGCAATAATGATTCAGTTTTAACTGATCGTAATTCTACAATCTGATATTTGTCGAGTGGTGATGTTATTGTTCGGATTTTGGCTTTAAAATTTTGTTTTCTCGTTACATTCGATATTGAGAGAATATTTTGTTTCTGTGCTGAATACTTCATTTTAAAAACATGTATTTGCAGTTACAACTTCCATCACAATCGGACGAAATAGTTTCGACCTTAAATCTCCAGTAATAAAGTTTGTTTCATGGATCAGTAGAAATAAAACTTTCAGTGGTATTTTCATAAGTGCCTTGTGTTTGACAAAAAGCGATGAAAAGAAGTTGCAATACACAGTTTAGATTTATCTCTCTCTCTCACTCCACGTTATAAAGTATTCCTTTTTTAATTAACAAATACTTCTTAATCGGAAAATTAAAATGCTACAGCTACAAGAAGACTATTAGAAGATTCCTAAACACAAAAAAACAAACAATAATAATGTCACCTACATTGAAGTCCTATTGTTGTTTACCGAAGCCACTCAAGGATAATAGCATGTTCAACGTTGATATCGGATTTCCACATAGATAAAGTTGCTTACCTGTCTATTTCAGACAATGCATTTCGAATTGTGTACAGCGTGTGTAAAATAATCCACATGCTTCTACCCTAAGATATTCGTTCGCCAAAATACCGACTGGTATTCTTGATATCCTATCACTTTGTGCCGACGTAAAGCTTTGCAGTCCTGTGAATTTTGAGTAAACGGCTTTATTGATACTGGATTTTCGAAACGGTATTGAAGTCTGACGACTAAAATTTGATATCGACGATGAAATAAGAAATTAAATTTTTGATACTTCATTCTTATAACAAACAACTCATAAAAACGCAAATGACCACTGATAAAATCATCATCTTCATCAGCTGAAAGACTTCTGCTGCTGAATGAAGATTTGTAAGTTGAAGCAAAGCAACCATGCCGAGAGAAAATTTGCGATTTTGTATATTTCCTGAAACAAACGCGTAAATTACACACATCAATATTGTATAAATGTTAAAGTCAAGGCCGGCTCGACTGGAGTGATACTACGGCCTCACAAATACCGACGTGAAACAACGCGTTGCGTTGTGTTGTGTTTCGTCTCATGAGTGAGGTTACCGGAGGCCCAATTACCCCCTCCCCCCTTTTTAAATCCCTGAGTCCCCAACAATTCTCAAATTCCTAATCCCAAAAGGCAGTAACACACTTGTAACGCCTCTGGTGTTCGAGGTGTCTATGGGCGACGCCAATTGCTTACCATCAGGCGATCCGTCTTTTCGTTTATAGTCTTATCCCATAAAAAAAAAGTTTAGGCTTACTTAATTGTTTGTCAAAGAACTCAACTACTTTCAAACCATGCTAGAGGCTCATATTCATGAACAACATTCCGCCACACGTGGCGACTGTCACGCTGCTGTTCGCTAGGTTTGTTCCTATATATAAATAAATACTCATAAAAATATAAATATTCGTATATAAAGAAAAGTTAATGTTATATTATTGTCTAAATCATTTCGCCGCTAAAACATTGTATTCTTACCATAAAATATTAGTTTTAGACCTGTCAC